TCCGGCTGTTACCCGCCGGCTTTCACCTGCCGCATCGCTTCCTCAGGGGAGGGATAATGACACCCTACGGATGAGGAGACATCGCTGTAATTACAGCCTGCGTCCAGCGGCCTGTTTATCACACACAGATGAGGATCAGGTACGGGGCTTCTCTGCACTCACACGCTACAGAACATGTCACCCGACATCACACACGCTACATAACATGTCACCCGACATCACACACGCTACATAACATGTCACCCGACATCACACACGCTACATAACATGTCACCCATCACACACGCTACATAACAGGTCACCCGACATCACACACGCTACATAACAGGTCACCCGACATCACACACGCTACATAACATGTCACCCGACATCACACACGCTACATAACATGTCACCCCACGACATCACGCATGACCCGTGCCGGCTGCAGACACATTCACCATTATTTGATTAACAACAGCAGCAGGGGGCTGATCTGTGTCAGACATGTGTAAACCGGGAGCTATACGATGGTGTCACCTCTGAGCCGGCATCTCGGTCCAGGAAGTAGGCGGTGACCCCCGGGTGACGAACCAAGATGGGGGACTGCTAATAAAATGAATCAATGTGAGCTCTGTTGCCCGGCTGTGTAGTTCTGTCCTCAGACTGACACCGAAGCTTGCCGGCAGATCTTTGAAATGTTTCGTGTCACTCCATCAGCTTGTTCACCGGGCCCAGAATCGGGTTCATCGCGCTACCGAGTCACCGCCCAGGAAGCAGCGACACATGACATCACCGCACAGGGAACAATGCACCAGTCACATCAGCCTCTCTACAGAGGAGCTTACACTCTAATGTCCCCTCCCCCCCACAGTCACATCAGTCTCTGTACAGAGGAGCTTACACTCTAATGCCCCCTCCCCCACAGTCACATCAGTCTCTGTACAGAGGAGCTTACACTCTAATGTCCCCTCCCCCCACAGTCACATCAGTCTCTGTACAGAGGAGCTTACACTCTAATGTCCCCTCCCCCCCACAGGTATATAGCTCTGGGGCAGTTGCTCAGGGACCTGCAGAACCCTTCCGCCAAAAGAACCGGCTCGTGATTGGAGCGCATCGGAGATACATTGTTATCAATCAATATTATTGATCTTCTCATGAATATTGTGTATTTATTGGTGCTGCAGGAAGTCAGATAGAGCCCGCCTCATTTCCTGGCCGCAGGACATCCAGGATCATCTAGTTCTTTCCTCCCCAGCCGGACTGTCCCTGGCCCCACCCCTTTCCTTCATTGGATCATGGAGGCTCAGCATCACATGTGGGCCAGCCCCTCCCACCAGCCATGATCTGCCTGCCAGCTCCTCCCACCAGCCACGATCTGCCTGCCAGCCCCTCTCACCAGCCATGTCTGTCACAGTAACACTCATGTGTTAGTACATATAGAGACCACAGAGGTGTCAGCGTGTAGAGAGGACTTGGCTCTGATTGATCTGCTAATATTCAGGAAGACGCGAGGTCAGAGGTCAAAGTGGGGACATTAGAGTGCGATGCTCCTTGTTCCTGCTCAGTCCCCGTCTCCCAATCTCTCCCGTGTTGTCACCCTGTCACACAGACTTCCAATGGAGGCTACAAGTGACCGATTCATTACACAGACATGGCACAGTGTTGTCACAGTGTTGTCACCATCAGGAAACCCGCCCTGACAAATTCAATGCAGCCATCACCGGAGTGCGTGTAGACAGGAAGTGGCTGTACAGAGGCTGCGGGAGATCAGCAGCACTGAGATGGAACAACAACAAAAAGATAAAAAAGTAATTGATACAATAAAAAGGGAACTGGTTGCGAGAAGCGGAACTTCAGCGAACTAAATATCGCGCCGTCGGGGTTTATATCTCCTTCAAACGAAAACTTCCTCCCATGTGCCCGTCTGCCGCGCCTACTCCCTCTCTATGGTCAGATGCTGAGCCTGTGGAAGTTGGCCCATGTGTTCCCGGGTTCCTGCCCCGCCCTCTCTCACAAAGAATGGATGCACAATCAGGGTCATGTATCCAGAGCCCGCACGGTGCACAACGTATAGCCGGCTGGGAAGGGCCCACTGAGATGCCGCTGGCCCCTTAAGAAGCAGTGTGAAAATCCTGCTGAATCTGCCTTCCAGGAAGCTTATAAAAGTCGCATGAAAAGGTAAATGGACTCCTGGCTGCCGACTCGTCTCGGAGAGTTTTATGGATCACATGCGGATTTTATTGTCTGCGTTTTGCTCTATAAAGTGAATACCGGCGTCCTGGCTTGTATGATGTATAGAGGGGCGGGGCGGGGGCAGTGGAGAAGGGGGAGG